TCTCACCTATAATTGATAGCCGATTTAAGAAAGAAAAGATATATTAAATACGAGTCATTATTTAGTTAGATGTGATTAAGAACAAAAAAGGTAGATGTAAGGAATATTTACAGGACAAAATTTGGTATTTTGGTTTTAATCCGTTGATCCCTTCTCGATTGGTTCCCTGTTGCATGGTTGCCAATTATCTGGTGCTTTGTTCTTCTGCAAGCTCATTTTTTTACGAGCAAAAATTGAGTCGATTGACTTATAACTCGGTCAGTCTTTGGATCATCTTTTTCCCATCCTATTCCTTGGACAAATTTTGGTATTTTGGTTTGTCCAGCCTTTTGGGTCGGTCGCCTAATTATGTTTGAGCTCTTGTTCGTTCGTCTTTTGGGTCATATAAGCTCTGTTGGATTGCTCGACTTGAAAATGTCCTTGGAATGTTCTTATTCATTATAATTGGTGACACGTGCGTTGTTCAAAACCGCTCAATCCTCAGGAGATGTGATAATGGGCATTTTGATTTTATCAGGGTAATTGTATTTAATAATTATGGAGCTTCACTTTATTGAAATGGAATCATATGCATATTATCATGATTGTTTTCTTATTTAACTAAAGCTTTGCTTATTTCCGAAGAGTGGGGTGAGCAATATTAATTTTTCTTAAATTTTATTTAGATAATAAATCTCCACCTTGGCGAATATCCAGCTTCTTTAGGAGAAATGCATATTCCTAACAAATCTCCACATTGACGAATATCCAGCTCTTTAGGAGAAATACATATGTCTGACAGATCTCCACCACATTGGCGAATATTCAACTCCATAGGAGAAATACATATGTCTGACAAATCTCCACCCCTTATGAGAAAATACATCATGGAGTTTCTTATGTACCAATGTGGGTTGGGCCACTACACTTCCGCTGCGCTCTCGCTGAGGCCACTACGCTTCCGCTGCGCTCTCACTGATCCCCCTAACTCACTAAATTCCAAGGGTCACAACTCTTCAATTCCAAGAGACATCTCTTCATCTGATCCCCCTAACTCACTAAATTCCAAGGGTCACAACTGTTGAGAAAATAAGGGCGATCATCACAAAGTTTATAATAAATAATAATTATTATTACATGCATGTCCATTTCATTCTTGAGTTTATTATTACAGATACTAAATTACTAAACAAATTAATTACAGATCGATCCAGACGTCGTTTGATAACTTTGTTAATTTTTCAAAGCCAAACGATGGGCTAAATTCAGAACAATTCATTTATCCAATTAGCTTGGATTGTTTTGCTTCGTAAACTAATAAGCATGTTGCCTTCGTTTTATTTATTTATTTGTTTATGTTTTCATGACAGCCCTTTAAAACATTAGACCCTGATTGTTGTCTTACTCATTGTACATTTCCCATTTGCAAATTACCTCTCCGGAAGGCCCATTGTGCAATTTTTCAAATGTGCCTTGGCCAGTTCGTTGGTTTCAAACTTATCGTCACAACTAGTTTTAGGGTTATAGATTACTGTTAACTATGTAGCAACGGTGCATTATCGTTATATGCATACATAATATGAAATCATAATAGATTATTATTAAAAATATAATTAAATTTGTTGTAAATCATCAAATTTTATTTAAATAATATATCATACAAGTATAAAGTATTAAACATGTTACTTACTAAACATCAAACTGTTCAAACGAGTTTGTTCGTGAACATTAGTAAATTAGTATAAATTCAAATTTGATTTATTTAACCTTTGAGTCTTCAAAAAATATTCAGACTAATTTCTCTTTAGTAATTTGAGCAAACAGATCGAATATTAATCGAGTCAAGTTCGAGTTGTACGCCTAGAGTAATTTTCATTTTATATGTCCAAACTATGATGAAATGAATGTTTGACATTATTTATTTAATCAGTTCAATAATAACATTTTCTTAACAGTGATATTTAAAAGTATTTCATTAGAAACAGACAATAAATAAATCAGTATTTAGGTTAAAACCTTAGCACCGGAATTAAACTTAGCGATAATAATGGATGCCTCAAGTTACTATCATTCAAATACCATATTTACGAGAATGCCATTTATTTGTTGCTTAGTTCCAAAAGCATAAGATTCTATTAATTTATTAATAAGAATGAGAATTATGCGCCACTTAATTTAACATTTTACTTATTTATTATTTATTTTTAATTATGATTGAATTTTACGTGGCCCCAATAATCGACTGCATGTAAAGATAATTATAAATTAACGAAAAAATAAAAAGTGGAATTTATTAATTGACGATAATAATTATAAAAAACCTAACTAGAAAACAACATCAATATGGCAAGTAATTCCTTCCAAATTAAAACTTGTTATCTTCCCCTTACTTTTCCAAACTAAAATTTTCTCAATCAATCAAAATTTCAAAGTATTATCAAATTTCATCAACATTTATTGACCACATCATAAAGAACTAAAAATAAATAGAAATTTGTATATATACCACACACTAAACACCTCAAGTTTGATATTTACATTCATGACACCTTTATGACATAAGCCTACGGGCAATGAAAAGGTGTATCTCACTTCTAAAGGTTATTAATAGTTTTACTTTCTATGTAATATTAAAGACTAAAGTACAATGCATGTAAATACACAAGTTTAGACATTAGATATGTAAATATATAAAAATTATGTGGCATGCCCTTAAAAGATGAATGATTGAAATGAGAGGAGATGCGGAATGAGGTACAAATTAAAGTTTAATAAGAAAAGCATCCTCCCCTTTCCATCAAAGGCTAGGTTTGATGTTTGAGAAGATAAAAACAAAAAAAAAGGAGGAATTTTTGCATCCAATTCAAATTAGAGTCCTATAAGAACTTCATTTAGAATTGCCTTTCAACTTTTGAGTATTCTTTGTAGAGCTCACATGCAATGAATGAACAAAGGGGATGAGAATAAAATTAGAAAAGAAGAAGAAGAAGAAGAGAGAATTTGAGTGCTTCAACATATCTTCTCATGTTATGGACGTCAACATCAACATGGAATCATTAATTGTTAACTTCGAAGCAACCAACACTCATCGTAGAATTCTATTTGGCGAATCATAAACCACAAAATTATGATATCATGCAATGATATGAGGTCTTAATTGCAATTTACGAATGTTAAATATTAACTATAAATTAGTGGAAATTAGAAAGATAGCTGTCACAAATGAGGTGTAGGCATTGATTCGTTGGTGAGTTATTGGATGTGGGTATAAAAATAATTATTTGCTTACGTGCATGCCACACAATTCTTACGCATTTACAAATTTAACACCTAAAGTTTAATACTTGCACTCATATTACCTTTATATTACAAATCTAGTTATGGAAATGTTTGTTTCCCTTTTAAAAATTAGTATTAGTGATATTTGAGTGTTATTTATGTATATAACTATATAAGAATTGTGTAGCATGTATGTAAATTTACTTTTTTTTTTTTTAATTGAAAAGATATATTTAAAATATTTTAGTTAAGGTAAAATGAGCATAAGATCAATTCCGTTACAAATTTGAATTCACGTGAGTTGAAGCAATCTTCATCTACAGCTTAAGATCAATGTTTTAGTAATTAGTTATTATACTATTTTAGTCAAGGTGTCTAGATTAATTTAGTTTATTTAATCCTGTCAGGACATTGGGTCCCGTATTGTTAGTGGGTTAATAACTCGGGAGAGACCTTTGTAAGGAAGGTGAAGGAAGAGGATGATTGTGTTCCGCATGCCATCCTGAATTATGTGTACTTTTCGATTCTCCTCTAATGGAAAAAGAAGATGATCTAATGAGAAGAGAAGGTAGGAAATGTCCCGTGAGAGTCGCATAATTTAATCATTGAGGTTGGTCTTAACTTTTGTGTTCCGACAATTCTAAGGATTACCGATGAGATGAGCTTTGTAGATGAGGCAAAATAATATATCTGTTATGTTTGTCCATTTGGCCAGTCTTCTCGATCAGCTTGTAAGAACAATTTGATAGGTCAAGCTCTTGTGATTATTTCTTTGGTGAATCCGACATGCTAGTTCAACAAGTTGGCTCAACAACTAGTACATGATAGCTGACACATTGGTGAATGAAGTTAGTGAATTACCCTAGCAAGTCACTTTAACAGAAGTTGTGTCTGGTAAAGCCTGAAAGATGTGTGCTTTGGCCCATAAAAGTTGATTTATGGCCAAAAGTTTCATAAATAATAATCAATTAGAGTCTCCAAAATAAATTTTGTTGGTAATATTTTCTTCTCCTCTCTTATCATCATTATGCGAAGTGATCAATTAAAATAGCAAATTTGCAATAGGAGGAGTCAAAAGCCTTTAGAAATGGAAACCAGAAAGAAATAAGTTAGTTATGTGTCAATCAAAAAGTACAAGCCATGGGATTGGCCTTAACTCTAAAATTTGTCTTCACAAGCACTATTATTAAGTCAAAGTGGCCCAACTTAACATATCTATGATTGTGACTTATTAGGCGTGCTTTGCATTTAATCACTTCATTAATTGACTTTAAACAGTTTTATTCGTATTTAATCATTGAAGTGTCATAGAAATAATCTCCACGCAATGTAAGATTTAACTGATTATGTCATTAATCACACTCATTAATTAATTTCTTATACTAATGGGAGTACAAATGGGATATGAGCCACTTTGAAAATGATGCTTGTTTAGAGACTTTTTGGTTGATTTAAACTATTTTAGAACAAATAATTTTATTTTTAAATTAAATATAGTTATTTTGATGAATTTATTTTGCATGAATTTTATATGAAGTGTAAGTTTAAAGTTTTAAGTATTAAAAATGTAAATAAATAAGAATTGTGTGATATATATGTAAATTTTTTTATTTATATCAAAGCAGCTCACGGGTACGAGGAACGACAAAATAAATAAGAGTTTTAGGGTCTATTTGGGCAGCTTATTTGGTGCGATGTCGTTTTGAAAACGCACCTGGACTGTTTGGGCAAACTGCATGCAGCTTATGCGTTTTGAAAACGCTGAAAGCAGCGTTTTCACATCGCACATATCCAGGTGCGGTGGCAGTTTTCTGGCAGCGGTCTGACTTTTCCAAGAAAATAAAAATTTCTAATAGCCACCGCATCTAACTTATCATCAGATTATTTTTAATCAGATTATCAGTAGATTATTCAATAAGCTGCAGCTGCCCCAAACAGACCTTTAATGGGCTTTGTGGGCTATGTATAATTAGCCATATCATTAAGGAAAGTTATGGATGAACATTTATAATGAAGCCCCGTGCTCTTGTTAATGCAGATCAGTAGGCCCATTTAGTTGGCTGAAATTGGGAAATAATATTTAACATGTATAATGAAGCCCCGTACTGTTGTTAATGCAGATCAGTAGGCCCATTTAGTTGGCTGAAATTGGGAAATAATATTTAACATGTATAATGAAGCCCCGTACTGTTGTTAATGCAGATCAGTAGGCCCATTTAGTTGGCTGAAATAAGAAAATAATATTTAAAATGGCATGGTTATACAAAATTTATCATTTAATTATATAAACAAAATATAATATTAATATAAACTCCACCACTATCATCAAAAGTTTCAAATCCAGACAAATTCATTTTTAATGCAAAATAATTGAAAAAATATATCATTTTTAAAGCACATTTTTTAATCAAAAGCAATTGTGTAAATTCTTCCTTAAAATGAATGTTTAAGGTGATAACTTTCTTTGATAGGATTAGCTACTCCAATTAGACTAATTCACATTTTCCATGAATTATAAGCTAGTTTCCAATATAGAGATTTTAATAAAATTTCCTTCATTTCTTAATTTATAATATATTTTTAATAAAGATGGAGAGATGATAAATAATGATAGTTTGAAATTTGTAGACAAATTAGGAGATAATTTTTTATTAATATAGTTAATAATAAGTTATTATCCTTTTATAACAATAATATTATATTCAATATTATATTCAATTTAGTGCTCACAATGAATATATTAAATTGTATGCTTTATCTTATCATTTTTTAATCATATAAGTTATTATCCTTTTATAACAATAATATTATATTCAATATTATCTTTAAGATATATGTATTGGATTGATAAATGATAAGATAAAACTTACAATTTAATATATTTATTGTGAGCACTAAATTAGATGTCCACTTCTAAAGAGCGGATATTATGTATTAGAGATTATACACTCACATGGATGGCAAGAGTTATGAGCTCTTTACATGGGAAAGAAACAAAAGGTGGTGTTATAAGGATAATTGAAATGATATTTTATTATTATTATTAAAAATAGTTCATATAAGTATAATAAAAGATAAAAAATATATATTTAATCAATAAATAGATAGAATTATATTAAAAAATTAAGAGAGAATAAGAGAAGATTAAAGATAACATAGGTAGAAATTAGTCAAAAATATTTATGAAGAATATAATATCCCAAGCATGATTGGACATGATTAAATAAAAAAAATTATGATTCAAGTAAGTTGATTATAAATATATAGAATAATTATAATAATGATGAATCAATATATAAAAAGAGTGGTATTTGTCATTAATTTAAAGAATGATTAGCATGATAATTATTTATCATCACACCATTCTCTAATGAGATTGTTGGATGCTTATTGAGAGTATGTTATTGGGTCAATCATCATCTATGATGGCATGAACTCAAGCTTGACGAAAGCCAACCACCAAAAGAGTTGTTGTTCCCAATTTGATGGCCAATGCTTCCAATGGTTTAAACGATCAAAATTTATGAAGTAGCCATATTAATTTATTGTCTCATGTTTTCCTATGAATGGAACTTTAAACATTAACAAGAATCATTAATGCTTGTTTATCATATATAAGCCATAAGTTATTGTCATATTGAACCACTGCTTTCTCTATTTTGCTGCTCTTATGTTGTTAACTTCTTAAGTTTGATACAAAAATTCTTCTACATAATAGAGTTCTTAAGAAAATGATGACTAACTGATCATCCTAATTTGTCATTCTAGTTCTTTGACTCATTTAATTGATAATACATATATTTACAACTTTAACTTTTACCATATGTATAATGCACTTTTTTTTATCACTAGTCGAATTGTCAGTACTCTCTTGTTGATGGCTTTCTTAATCTCTATCAAACAGAGAAATAAGTTGATTTATAACCTTCTAACATCTGAATCAAGCTTCCCAAACTCCTTGATCCCTTTGTCATTCTCTCACCATTTTATCATCTCTATTCAACATTAATACCACTAACAACTACCCACATTGAAATATTGCAGTTGACCTCATTTACTTTATCGAACCATTATATTTATTATAATAAGAGTCATGGGATATTAAAGACACTTACATTAAAAAAAAAACTATCTTTTCTCTCCTCCTTTCATCACTTATCAACTGACAAGTTGATTATATAAGATGAATTTTGCTTGTATCTTATACATTCTACCCTTCATTTCAATATCCTCTCCACTTCTTTGCATCAATAATTTACATTAAAATTTGAATCACATAAATCCTTTAACTTTTATTCCCTATATTCTCTCTCACAAAGATGCACAAAACAAGTGGCATTACTCCACTCCTAGGCATCTAGTTGAATAGAAAATATCCCGAGCTAATGACTCTTCATCTCCATCTCTCTCTTACACTAGGCTCCAATGTCTCTCTTCTAAGTTAATGACCACTCATTAGCTTTCTCATTAGCTCGAACAAAAGGTTGTTATTATTGGAGCACGTTGATCGGAGGGAAAAAAAAAAGTCTTGGTTTTAATTTTTGAAGAAATAACCGCAAAAAAAAAATTCTAGGTTTTCAAAGTTGATGGAAAGAGAATACAACAAACCACACGTTCGGAAGAGAAGTACACTTATCAAAAATTAATTTGAGAGAATACAAATCGTTCTCTATAATGTTTACTTTTAAATAGTTAATTAGTTATAATAGTTATCTCAAATAATAACCCTTAAAAAATTGACATCCATACTGCTAAGAAGGTTGCGACGACTGCCGGGTAATATCGGGTCATCCACATCACACTTACCAAGCACGAACCCATTTGACCCGTAATCAATTAAGATTCGCAGTCGCAGTTGACAAGACTTTGGGAAGAGGAGAATTGTAGAAAGAGGGTCGCAGTTGAGAACGGGCGGCGATTACACGATTCGACACGATGCAGCAGCACGAGCTATTTCGAACGAGCCGAACACGAGCCAAGCCTGAGCTAGCTCGTTTACAGCCCTATTGACAAGACTTTGGGAAGAGGAGAACTGTAGAAAGAGGGTCGCAGTTGAGAACGGGCGGCGATTACACGAGTGCCGCGGTGTCCGGCGGGTTTCGCCGCCGCCGTCTTCCTGCTCTTTCTCTCATTTGATCGGTCCCTTGCCACAGCTGAACCCCATCTCGATTCGGCTCGTGTTGTCTTTCAGGTTTATTGACTTTTGTCTCCCGCGATCTCTTGATTTCCTTGCACGTTCCTTCTCATCATCACTAGGCTAGTTGTTTGATTGCATTAGGTCTCTCACTGGATCGGGTTGCATCTCTTGTCCATCGATTTCAGCCAGCTGTTTTCGAATTTGTTGTATATCTAGAATTTTTTTATGAATTTATTTTGTTTTGTTCCTTGCGGCTGTTTTTATCACTCAGAATTGACCTTAGTTTGTAGTCTTCTGATTTTGATGGTTCATACAGATTCATTTTTTTTAGCTCAGTTGAATTATAAACACAGATCGTGGTATGTCATGCCCTCTTCATTAGAGGTGCAAATTTGCTGATTAGAAAGCCTTTATTCGTTCACTTTGCAGACAAACTACGGAGATATAGAGTTTGGTTTCTTTCCTGAGATTGCCCCCAAGACCGTTGATCACATCTTCAATCTTGGCCGGTTAGGTTGCTATAATACGGACCACTTCTTTCGGCTCCTTATCTGTCCTCGATGGACTTTTTCTCTGATATTTCCTCCGTTTAACGAAGTGTTCAGGTCTTCTTGTAGGTTGATAAGGGTTTTGTTGCACAAGTTGCTGATGTTGTTGGGGGCAGAACTGCGCCCATGAATGAAAAGCAGAGATTTGAAGCTGAAAAAACTGTGATTGGTGAATTTAGTAAGACTAAACATGTGAGAGGCATTCTTTCAATGGGGAGGTACTCCTAATTACCTCTATTGCATGAAAACTAGATTCATGTTCTATTGATTTGCTCTTCCGGGTCCTCACTTCATTGATGAAGCTGGTTATTCAGTACTAAGTTTTCAGTTATGTTTAGTTATTGTAATGAGAACTTGATTAATCCTTGAGAACTTCGAGCTACACGTACTCCCAAAAGAAAAAGAAAGAATGAAAAAATGAGCAAAATAAGAAGGGGAAAGTTTATTCATTTATTTTCATATCTTATTCTCCAAATGGAGGTATTTATAGACTACATGACTACATCAGGCTAATCATAAGAAAGTTTCTTATTAATTTTGAAAAGTCATTCATGCAGCTGCAGATTATCTCAATTTAAACATGGAATATCTATTTTGAAAATTTTGAATTAGCATGGCGTAATACCAGATATAGATTGAGTTATATGGATGTTCTTGAATCAGTCCTCAGACTCTCTTCTATTGTTGATTGCCGATTAAGTTTGCTTTTTATCTTGTTTAGATGTTGGGAGTTTTCATTCAAGATCATGTTGATAGATGAGACATACTTCTATAATTTAGCAAATCACATCATACAATCATCAATTATTGTTGATGCCTTTTGCATATTTTCTATCATGGATGGTGCATCACCAAGTGTCCTTGCTAGCCAGGAAGGAAGTACTACCAAACAATTTCAAATATTTACGTAGCTGTTAGATGTGGGAATTCTCAAATGGTGCCTAAACAAAAGTTAAACATCTATGGAAATGTTATGAGAAAATGAGGAAGACATGGATTGGGGAGGTGCTCAATGAAATGCAAACTAGGTCCATGAAATAGGCACTTATTCTCAACATGAGTGATTGAGAGGTGTTGTTTGACCAAATAAATGCGAGCTTATTGTTGTTCTAGGCATGCACGAGTTGTTAACATGTATGAGTTTTGTGATTTCTTGAACATGGATTTGAAGATTTATTGGATGAAGTGGAGTTGGTGGAAGGTTTGGCGTAGAGCAGGAACGGAGGGTCACAAATCTGGCGACAATAGTGGAAGGTAGTTTTGGTTGTTGAAGTGCCAATAGTCCGTGCAATGGCACGGGAGAGATGGATGGAGTCATATGCCAAGTGCGATGGAGGGAAGTGGGATTAGAGCAAACATTGAATTGTGGATTTCATGCTGATGATGCAATGTTGGATGAAGTGGAGTCGTAGAATTTTTTATCGCTCTACAACAATGGCAATTCTGGATGTAGATGAAGACTGACATCGGTTGCTATGGAGAGGTGTGGATCTTAAATTGATATTGAAATATGGATGGCGGATTGGTGATCTCAACTGTAGAGATAGGAGCTAATCAATAATGAAGATATCTTGGAAACAACAATAGGGCTTTGTGTTCCTGTTGGTTGGGGGGTTGAGGCAGAGGGTTGCAATCGCTGATTTATTGTCTATGAGGTGATCTTGGATGATAATGGAGAATGTAGATGTTTCTTAGGAGGCTCTACTCATAGAAGATCTAGATCAATGATGTGTATATATGTAGTTCTTCTTGATAGGGGAAGGCGCAGATGAAAGCGATTATCTGAGGCAGTGGAAGATGTCATGGTTTCAAGCGAAGAAGGTGGGTTTAATGTAACGAAGCACCATTGATGAGAGCCTAATTTCATCTTGAATGCTTCGAACTATTTAAAATCTCTTAAGAAAAAAGCAAACGAGAATAGATATGAGAAGGTGATAATGTATTCATTCTTTTTTATGTCTCATCTTTGAGTGGAGGTATTTATTGACTAAAACATTATCTCAAGCTAATTATATTGAGTAATTAAATAAATTTTAACTACTAAATATCCTCTTAATATCATTCTTATATTCTAGTATATTGCCCCAACACAAAAACTTCAAATCTAAGATTATATCGAAAAAGGTCGAACCCAGAGGAGCTTCTTGTATTTCTTTGTAAAGGAATTGATTTTCTTATATTCATTTTTTCTGAGAAAAGAAAATTTATCTTGTAGAACATTTTATAAAATATTAATTACCATGAAAATAAGGCATGGTATCTTGTAAAGAACATTGGATTAATGAGACCGTCTTGTGAATTTTGAAATTCAATTTCTCAAGAGAACCAAGAGGGAGTACATATGTTTAAGAGTTCTTATGAGGGAAATGTATGAAAATTATTATGTTATAGTCACTCTATGAGGCAAAAATAGGCTATAGAACATATGAGAGTGATGAAAATTTTTAGGATATATCTTGTAAAGAACATTGGATTATTGGGACCCTCTAGTGAATTTTGGAACTCAATTTCTGAAGAGAACCAAGAGGGAATACATATGTTTAAGAATTCATGTGAGGGAAGTATATGAAAGTTATTATGTTATAGCCACTCTATGAGGCAAAAAACACTATAAAACATATGAGAGTGATGGAAATTTATAGGATAAAGATACATATGCCTATTTTCAGAATAATCGAGGAAGAAAATGCACTATAGGCGTGTATAAGTAAATCAAGGCGTTATTGAGCTTTTGGAGTTCTTTCTTGAGAGCACCGAGTAAAGAGGAAAGAAAGGGTGGAAGGTATGACTGAGATATGACTCATATGAAAATACAAGTATAAGACATTACAAACATTATATTAGGCGGCAAGGCAGGGAAAAAAATTTTTTTGTGTAACTTGGGTGTTCTAGCAAATTAGAAGTTTTGGTGAAGATTCTTTATGAGTTTGGAAAGGACTCTTAGTGCTAGCACCAATCTTAGTTGAACCCTTGATGGCTTGAGGTTAAGTGTAGGGTGATCTTCTTACAAGGATAACATGTAGTTGAACTATTTGCCCCTCTTGTGTATACATGTACGTAATATCAGCAATCTCCAAGTTTCTTTGGAGATGGGTAATTGTAGTTGCTTTCAATGCTATGATTCGCGACTTATGATGATGAAGTTCTAGCAGAGTAAGGCCAGCTATGGTAGGTAGAGCACGAGGCTCCTTAATGAAGAAGTAATAGGCTGGGTGTACATTAATACAGGAGAAAAAATTGAATTCAAAGTATTTGATAGGTTGCCGAATATGAATACATGATGTATCGAAGGACCAATGGATGGAACAAACATTCTGAGTGAACCAAAAATAAAAGCAATAAATAAGAAAGGATTTCTAGCACATCAACAACATTTAAGAGCTGTAACTGGGATTCTGAAGGTGCATGCTTTTTAATTTGATAATGAATCTACCATATGGGTTCTTGTGTCTTGCAAACAATATTTGGGAAGCTTTGCAATACATACTACAACTCCGAGAGGTTACGTTGAAGATGGGCTCGGGAAGATACACGGTCTAGTAGGATCGATGAGTAAACTTGGGAGCACATAATTTTTGTTCAACGGAATACCTAATGATTGTTTCCTGGGAGAGCTCTTTGAGATGCTTTATTGAAAAGAATTCTGCAAACGTAGCACCATCATATCAATAATAGTTCAAATCAATTGTAATTGTGGTGGACACGTGGTGTCAGAGATTGCATAAAATCTTTGATCAATTTTTAAAGGTTATACTTTTCCCATATTGAGGCACTTCATGGAGTTTGAAAATGTTGTTTCATCACTGCCATTTTTTTGAACTTTAGATTTTGATTATTGGTTTTTTAGCTGTTTGTTAGCATGAAGCATTTAAGGCGGGTCCATTTGTAAGCGATGGAAGGTATAGAAACATGATGCAAAAAAAATCATTGCAATGGCTTCGAAAATTTTTTGAGCTTGCCTGTAAATGTGAACTTTAATGTGGAGGTGAAGGCTCCAGTGGAAGTGAAAATTGCCTAGGAAGAGAGGGATATCAATGGAATTGAGATTGTTCATGGGGAGGAGACTATCCTATATGTTGGATTTCCAGCCATTGTGGTGATTGTTGATGATGATGCCAGTGTGTAAAATTATAATGAAGTGGATAAGGCTTCCACACTGTAGGAATGTGGCAATGAGACTCCCAATAAGAAGGACAAACTTAAGGATAAGAATACTAGCAATGATGCTAATGAAGTGACTAGGGACAATATTGATGAGGGATGGAATGAGGAAGCAGAAGCTAAAATTGTAGTAGTTGTGCTCTTAACATAGATTTCTTGGGGTTCCTAGTGCAGGTGAGCACCAAGATAATAATATTAGAACTATAAATACATACATGTTTGCATGGATGCATGCATATAAAATAAAGAAATGACCATAGGCTATTATACGAGTCTCCAGCCACTCCTAATGTGCCTAACCATTGGAGTGCCACCTCATTAAGGCTCACGTCGCCAGAGGGGATTCAAACCCCCGACCTGAGGGGTCTTATACTAAGGATGCCAACCAACAGACCAGGGTACGCGGTATAT